CCCTGAATCATTCAACGCCTTTTTCATTTACTTAACCTTAAAGTCTGTAACTGTTGGCACCACTTGTTCGGCCTCTGCTCGCCTTTGTCTGAGCTTATCGTGCGCTTGCCTTACACTATAATGCCGCCATGAAAATTGTAAGTCATTAGTGCTCCAGCCATAATAGCTAACGCTGCGTTCTGTCGCTCCCGCGGGGTGAGCGCGAGCAGAAGAAAAGAGGCCCCTCATGCGGGGCACGCTCGACACTGCGCTGCAGCCTCCCAACTCACACACGCACGAACGCACCCCCTCCTACAAATGCACGCACACGCATCCCCCCCCCCCACACACACACACACGCGCGCGTAGGAACCACCTTCCCACACACGTAGGCATACACATACAATCGCATACACTCACATATGCGCACGCATGCGCGATCGCTCCTCATCACACACGGGCGCACGCGAGGAAAACATCATTGTGCTCTTTTCTTTCTGTGTGATTATATAGCTAGGCTTTATATCTATATCTATCTATCTGTCTATATATATATATATATATATATATATATACCCCGCGTTCTCCGTGGCAAGCGAAATATATAGGCACACTGCCAGGTTTTCAAAACAATTTGCAATTAGTTTGAAATCTCGAATTTCATTATGATTAAACTTTGCTTTGATTTTTTTCGATTTCATTTCCTCATCTGTTTGGAAGGATGAACGCATAACCGTTTGATATTTTCATTCTGCTCTGTCAACAAGCAACGTGAATTAAGGATCCGCATGGAATGAACCCCCCCCCCACCCACAAGCGTGTCATGGTGTACAGACCGCAGTAGCCTACTTGCCAGAGCAAATAGCCGCCTTCGGGAAGCCGTCACCCGTCATTGCTCCAAAAAGATCACCCAGCTGAGTAAAATCCAGGAAACAGGTTGCGTATTATTCAATACGATAATCTCGTCGCTGTTTTATTTACAAGCTCGTCACGATGACAGTCTACATCGGATGAAAAAAATGTCTTTTCAATAGCACTATCATAATGCAATAAAAATAAACGGACATGCAATTTTATGTATCGTCGAGTAGTTATAAGCGTATAGCTCTTACGAACAGGTTATGTTCTGTGTCGATGTTATCTCTTTGTGGAAGATCGCGGCGATTGGACCCGTCTCTGCTATTCTGATAGTTTCGCGGGTATAAGTATAGGTGCTCGTCACCAAACACACGCAACGACGACGTCATACACTGTAATACAATAATTACTCTATATTTAAACGGACACTCTTCTCTCAGTCTTTCCCCGAAACAGCGGCGGCAGGTATCGCTCGCCAACACTCGCGCGCGCGACTGAAACCTATTAGAACCGCCGATGTAATACTATACAGTTACATTACACTATTATTTACACGATCGCAAGTATTTACAGTTTAATGTCAAAAAAAGTTGGCCTGTTTGCGCACGCGGGAAGCAGGCAAACATTCTTGCTCTTATTTTGTTTGTTTCTGCATCTGCGGCCCTGCGAACAAAAGAACCCCGTCGTGGTAATTTGGCGCGTGATTTTGCTGTATTAGTGCACAACAACGCCGGCTAAACTCTATCGCCGCAGCCTATTTCGCGTTACTGCGAGTTGCTGTAAGTAGTATATCGTATGCGAGAGCGGCGGCAGAGCGTACAGCGTGGTCGGTCGTCTGTCGGTGGCGCTTCACAGCTTCGACGCCGTTTGAACAAACAACAATAAACACCGATTATTAAAGAATATTATCATTCGCCTCTGCCGGTTACTGTTGTTCTTCGGCCGACGTTCGGCGAGTGTCTCTGCCGCAACACGAGCACATGGTCCGATATTGTTTTGGCTCTCAGCCGTCAGACGTTTGTTGATTCTAAGCAGTTGGTTATACGTGGCTGAGAGGTATCTGCTTCGGGGGGCCCGGCAGGGGCTTATTGAGCCTCGAGTGGGGATGCTCGTACGCCGCGTTCCCGCACAATCGGCCGTAGAAGCGCTTCCACGAGTCCAGCGACTTTCCGGACCAAATCCAGAAGCCCGACGTCGTGCCGACGACGAGGCACATAAAGTACTTCAGCATGAACAGCGAGTAGTTCGGCTCGGCCTTGCTGTTGTAGCAGGGGCACGTCTTGTACTTCTCCCACTCGGCGCGGTAGTATTGTTCGTAGAAGTAGCAGCCGATGACAATCGTCGCCGGCACGGTGTAGAGCACGCTGAAGACGCCGATGCGAACCATCAGCTTCTCGAGCTTGTCCGTCTTGGCGCGACCCTGCTGCTTGATGACGTTGCGAATGCGGAACAGACTGATGAAGCCGGCCGAGAGGAACAGGGTGCCGATAAACAGGTAGACGACGAGCGGCGCCAGCACGAAGCCGCGCAGGTTGTCGATGTCCTGATTGCCGACGTAGCACGTGCCGATGATCGGGTCGCCGTCGACGGACGACGTCGCCAGCACGGCAATGCTCTTCACGGATGGGATGAGCCAGGCGGCGAGGTGGAAGTACTGCGAGTAGGACGCGATCGCCTCGTTCGACCACTTGAGCGCGGCGGCGAGGAACCAGGTGAACGACAGCACGACCCACCAGATGGACGACGCCATGCCGAAGAAGTAGATGAGCAGGAAGACGACGGTGCACCACGGCGGACCCGTCGTCTCGTAGCGGATCATCTTGCCGTCGCAGGCGACGTTCTCGTGGCCGACGGCGAGCCGCACGATGTAGCCGATCGACACCATCAGGTAGCAGGCGGAGAGGAAGATGATCGGCCGCTCCGGGTATTTGAAGCGCTGCATGTCGATGAGGAACGTCGTCACCGTCATGAACGTCGACACGCAGCAGAGGATCGACCACAGCTCGACCCAGAAGACGGCGAACGACTTCTCCTTCTCCTTGAAGTAGATGCCGTGGCAGCTCATCGCGCAGTTTCGCACGCCGCCGACAGAGTACTTGTTGTAGTAGAGACTCATCTCGTCGTCGATGTTGACGAGTGGCGCCTCGCAGCCGCACGGACATGGCGTCGGCAGCCCGACGTCGTCCACATCCGTGTTGTCGTCCTCCACCCCGTTGTCTGCGCCCGCCTTGCCTGCGGCTCCACCCCTGCGGCGCGGATGGTCTCGTCCGCCGCCTCTCCGTGGGAAGCCAGGCTTGGGTTTCGGCGTCGCCGGCTCGGACGTGTTGAAGTCCGTGCATAATCGGTCCTTGTCGCCCTGCTCCGGAAGGTCGTCGCATTTCATGCGCTCGGGCCAGGCGAAGCCGTACTGTCGCATGAGCGGCGCGCAGCCAGCCTTGGCGCGCTCACACACGTGTCTGCAATGTGGAAAAATAGAGATGTTTAGGATTCGGGAAATTATTCGAGTTCGCCGGTACGGCATGTTTGCGATAGTCTTGTTCTATATCTCTCCTACGCTCTCTCTCTCTCTCTCTCTCTCTCTCTCTCTCTCTCTCTCTCTCTCTCTCTCTCTCTCTCTCTCTCTCTCTCTCTCTCTCTCTC